GCCCATGGCCCAAGGGGGCAGTTAACCGGTGCCGAGGCGAGAGCCGGATTTCTGATTCATGTGGAACGACGTCTCAGGCGGGAGCGCTAGGCCGGAATATATATGTTGAGGGAATTTCCGGCGAGAGGAGAAATATGAAGGCAAGAAGGATAACCTTAAGTACAAGGAAGGGCGAGGAGAACCCGGATTAGGAAGAGCATCAGGAGCACGATGATGAGAATGATGATACAGAGGAGGAGGAGGAGGAGGAGGAGGGGGAAAGTCACGGCGAGAAGGAGGAGGAACGGCATGAGGATGCGGAGGAAAAGGGAAGACGATGAGGTTGCGTAGGAGGGTGGGCGGCGAGAAACACGATGAGGGCGGCGACATAAACAACGACGACGACATTAATAACGACAAGGGCGCACGCAAATCAGGAACAGGAGGACGGCGACTCGGAGGACGAGAACAAGTTTTGAAGCCACGTTAGATCTAGAGTCGTTGATGGGGGTGCTGGACCCGGGCCTTAATATATTCCTCCTTCGTCGCTGCTCCGCGTCATCCTTCTGCTGCTGCTGCCCCTCACATCCCCCGTCCCTCCGCTGCTCTCTTGTCACGTCTCGCCCGCCGCCCCCCCCCACGCACTTCTCGCTCCTCACTTTCCACGCTTGTCCAAGGAGGAATTAAAGAGGATCAGATGGGCCGCAGATGCGCAGAGTATCAAACAGCAGAGGAAGATACAGCTGAGGATGAAGATGAATAATATGATTGCCGTGACGAGGTGGATCGCAACGATGGCGGCGACCCGCCGACCATGACGACTGCAATATATCACAACAACATCGGCGCTCAAGGTGACGACAACAATGGTTGCAATGATTCCTCATGAAGTTGATTGTGAGTGAATTTGATGATGAGCATGGTGGTGATGACGATGGCCACGATGATGATGAGGACGATGATGATGATGATGACGATGATGATGATAATGATGATAATGTCCACGACAACGATGAGGGTCCGGATGACGACGACGGCGACGACTACGACGAAGACGAATCGGATGAACGGGCGGCCGTCCGCCGCGGCAGAAGCGGACGGCCGGCCGAGGCCGCGGCGAACGCCCAAGAGATCTACGCGGCGGCCTCTGCTGAGAGAAAGTCTGCGCTGCAAGGCTCTTCTCAGCAAGGGCACCCGGGTGCCTCTGCTGAGAAGGCGTGGGTCTGATCCCGGGATCGCCCGCTGGGCGTGATGAGACGACGCCCTCCAAGTAGAGCTTGTTTCATCAGGGCCAGACGATGATCCCAGGGTCAGACCCACGTCCTCTCAGCAGAGGCACCCGCTTGCCTCGCTGGGAAGACCCCTACAGCGCAAGCCTCATCTCAGCAGACGCCGCCGTGTAGATCCTAGACGTTCGCCGCGCCGCGTGCTCTCAGCAGGGCCGCTGGGTTGGCCTTGCCGAGAACGCGTAGAATGCGGCAAACGCCTAAGACCCCAGGGGCAGGGGGCTCGATCGGAAGCGAACCGCTGTTGGTGTCGGCTGTATCTTCTGTTGGAATACCGATGCCGATCATGGCTTGGTACTGGTACCTGCACCGGCATCGGTACTGGTATCGATAGCGATACTGCTACCGACAGGCGCATAACCGTTCTTAGCATCAACAGTCGCGCAGTCCAAGGGGGCCCTGCGGGAGTCTGGAGGAGAGAGGGGGCTGCAAGGAGGAGCAGGAGGGGTATGGGGGGAGATGGAGGAGGCAGCAGCAGAAGGAGGACCAGGACAAGGATGGAGACGAGGCGGAGAAGCATCACCAACATACCGATTTATAGGCTCAGTCCAGCATCCCCGAGAGCGATTTTGAGCCAGGATGGCTCCAAATATTGTTCGCGCGTCCGCCGAATCATCGTCCTCCCGCCCCTGATTTGCCTGCGCCCTTGTCATCATCACAGTCGCCGTCATTGCTGACATCGTCCTCTATGCCAATATTTCTTGCCCTCTCCCCCTTCCCGAACCTCCTTCTCCTCCCCCTCCTTCTCCTCCCCCCCTCATCCAGTTCCTCCTTCTCCTCGTCTTTCCTCTCCCTCCTCCTCTTTTTTCTCACTATCACCATCGTGTTCCTGATGTTATTCCTCCTGGTTCTTCTCGCCCCACCTCGCTCTCCTGGTTCTCCTCCTCGCCCTCAAAGTTCTCCTCTCGCTGGAGATTTCAACGTGTGCCAGGGCGTGTCAGAAATTCATGTTCTCGCCTCGGCGCCGGCTAACTGCCCCCTCGGGGCAGGGGCGCCTGGACCCCTCCTGGGGCGCAACTCGATATTTGCGATGTAATGTAACAGGAAGCTTGGGCCTGGCCCCGTCTGACTCCTCCTCTCCCACCTCTCGGAGCCCAGTTGTGAGGATGTCTCAGGCAAAACTGACTGGGCTACCTCGTGCGCGGCATCTCGGAGCCCAGAGTTGCGAGGAGGTCTCAGGCGAAATTGGCCCGACCATCTCTCGCGCGGCATTTTGGAGCCCAGAGTTGCGAGGATGGATCAGGCAAATCTGGCCGGAGTACCTCGAGCGCATCATCTCTGTGCCCGGAGTTGCGGGGATGCATCAGGCCATATTGGCCAAACGACCTCGGGCGCGGCATGTCTGAACCCAGAGTTGCGAAGATGTCTCAGGCGAGAATGGGCCAGATCACCTCAAGTCAGGAGCATCTCTGAGCCCAGAATTGCGAGGATGTCCCAGGCGAACCGGACTGGACAACCTCACGCGTCGCAATTTCGAGCCCAGAGTTGTGAGGATGTCTCTGGCGACATGGGCCAGATCACCTCAGGCCACAACAGTTCAGAGACCAAAGTTGCGAGGATGTCTCAGGCGAAACGGGCCCGACCACCTCGCACGCGGCATCTCTGAGCCTGGAGTTGCGAGGATGTCCCAGGCGAAACAGGCTGGACCACCTTATGTCAGAGTATCCCTGAGCCCGCGCGCGACATCTTGGAGCCCAGAGTTGCGAAGATGTCGCAGGCAAAATTAGCCGGACCGCTTCGCACGCGGCATCTCGGAGCCCAGAGTTGCGAGGAGGTCTGAGGCGAGTTTAACTGGGCCACCTCGCGCCTGGCATCTCGGATCTCAGAGTTGCGTGAATGCCCTGGGCGAATGGGGCCAGACCACCTCAGGTCAGGGCATATCTGAGCCCAGAGTTGCGAGGATGTCACAGGCGAGTCGTGCTGGACCAACTCAGTCAGAGCATTTCCGATCCCAGAGTTTCGATGATGCCTCTGGCGAAACGGGCCCGACCACCTCGCACGCGGCATCTCTGAGCCTGGAGTTGCGAGGATGTCCCAGGCGAAACAGGCTGGACCACCTTATGTCAGAGTATCCCTGAGCCCACGCGCGACAACTTGGAGCCCAGAGTTGCGAAGATGTCGCAGGCAAAATTAGCCGGACCGCTTCGCACGCGGCATCTCGGAGCCCAGAGTTGCGAGGAGGTCTGAGGCGAGTTTAACTGGGCCACCTCGCGCCTGGCATCTCGGATCTCAGAGTTGCGTGAATGCCCTGGGCGAATGGGGCCAGACCACCTCAGGTCAGGGCATGTCTGAGCCCAGAGTTGCGAGGATGTCACAGGCGAATCGTGCTGGACCAACTCAGTCAGAGCATTTCCGATTCCAGAGTTTCGATGATGCCTCTGGCGAAAATGGGCAAGACCACCTCGCGAGAGGTTTCTCGGAACCCAGAGCTGCGAGGAGGTCTCAGGCGAAGTGGGCCCGAACCACATCAATCCAGGACATATATGAGCCAGGATTTGCAAGGATCCTCAGGCGAGCCGGGCCGCACCTCTTCGCGCGCGGCATCTGGGAGCCCAGAGTTGCGAAGATGTCTCAGGCGAAATTGGCCAGACCACCTCGCGCGCGGCATCTCGCAGAGTTGGGGAGGATGTCTCAGGCGAGAATGTCTGAAATAAGCTTTTCCAGATCACCTCGCGCTCGGCATGTCTGAGCCAAGAGTTGCGAGTATGTCTGAGGCGAAACGGGCTGGACATCCTCAGGTTAGGGGCATATCTGAGCCCAGAGTTGCGAGGACGTCTCAGACGAAATAGACTGGACCACTTTGCGCGTGGCATCTTGGATCCCAGAGTTGCGAGGATGAGTCAGGCGAAATGGGCCAGGCCACCTTGCCCCTGGCAGCTCGGAGCCCAGAGTTGCGAGGAACTCTCAACGCAACGCAGCGCAGCGCAATTGGAAGTGACGCAACAGAAATGCAATCCCATGCGTTGTAATGCCATGCAATGCAATGCAATGCAATGGCATTCCATGCAAGTGCAATGCAGCATATGCAAAATGCAAGTGCAGATGGGCATGAGACAGAGGCTTCCACTGTGGGGGATGCGGGATAAAGAGAGAGAGAGAGAGGGAGAGAAGGAGCGCGATGAGGAGGATGTGGAGTTGTTTTCCAGGTCTCTCCATGCAACTTGGCATGAACCACAGTGCAATACCAGTAGCAGGAGGCGCGGCTGGCAACAGGATCCAGCACATCGGAAGCGAACATAGCAGGAACACGAAGAGGGCCGCCGAAAGCCGCCGAGGGCCGCCGAAGGCCGCCAGGGGCTGCCGAAAGCCACCGGCGGCCGCTGAAGGCCGCCGAGGGGCGACGAGGCAGAGGAGGGCGAGGAGGAGGGCGAGGAGGAGGAGGAGGAGGAGGAGGAGGAGGAGGAGGAGGAGGAGGAGGAGGAGGGGGGGGAGGGGGAGGAGGGAAGGAGGAGGAGGAGGGAGGAGGAGGGAGGAGGAGAGGAGGAGGAGGAGAGAGGAGGAGGAGGAGGAGGAGGAGGAGGAGGAGGAGGAGGGGAGGGGGAGGAGGAGGAGGAGGAGGAGGAGGAGGAGGAGGAGGAGGAGGAGGAGGAGCAGGAGGAGGGAGAGGGGGAGGAGGCAAGGAGGAGGAGGAGGGAGAGGACGAGGTGGTAGTAGGACGTGAAAAGAGGAAGGAAGGGGAGGAGGACAGGAGGAGGAAGTGGAGGAGGAGGAGGAGAAGGAGGAGGACGACGAGGAGGAAAAACAAAACCAGCAGCAGGAGGCGGAGCTGACAACTGGATCAAGCACATCTGGAGCCCACTTAGCAGAACAAAAGCCCACTTAGCAGGAACACGACTTCACTCTACATGTGCGGTGACACGGTCAAGAGCACCACTTCCGACTGCCACGTCGTCGCTTGGTCGATTCCATCTGCGGGCAAGAAGGACCAGCACGAGCCCGTCCTTAGCTTGACGACTGAGCTGCTTAACTTCAAGATCGAGAAGGATCGTTTCGAAACCAATGTACATGCATCATTTCCCCCCGCTTTCCTCCCCTCGTCGCCCCCCTCCTGACCTCCTGACCTGCCCGGCCCCTGGGGCGCCTGGGGGCCCCTGGGCCCCTGGGCTCCCGTTCGGGGTCAAGGGGGGGGGGGGGGGCAAGTCAGTTTGGCCTGTTTTCTTAAGAGGACTCGACGCAGCACGAGAGGCTCTCAGACATGCTGTGGGGTATTTTTTCTTCTCAGCCTGCGATCTTGGGGTCGCCCAGCAAGCGCGACGAACTCGACATTCCATTGAAGTGGCAGGTTCGGTTGGACTGTTTGGCGCCTTGCAAAATTCTGGAATCGCAATCGGATGCCGCCAACCCCGAAATTGAAGAGTGCGTGCCTTTGAGTTTCAAGCCCACGCCGAGAGTCAAGCCAAAGGCAAAGGCCAAGGGATCAGCAAAGGCCAAGGGCAAGGCAGCAGCATCGAGCAAGGGTGCTTTGCTGGACCACGCAAGCCTCGAGGTCATAGCTGACAAGTGTCGCAGCGAGGCAGGGGCTGGGGTTGTGCAAGTCAACCCCAAGAAGCGTGGTGGCAGTGGCAGATCGAAAAACGCAGCATCGGATTACAGCCCCCTCCTCTTCTGAGATGACTAGATAGATGACCAGCCAGGGTGTTCTGCATAGGTCCTTTTTTGACTAGGCATATCTACAGATCCTTCCTGCCGCCCGCGATGAATGTCACAGGTAACTGAACAACAGCAAACTCCGAACACACCCAAACATCAAAGCAACATCGAAACGATCAGCTGATAACCACGTGGCATCGTGGCGCGGTGATGCGAAGCAGGGGCACGTGTCTAGACTGCCTCTGGCAGAATTCATTTTCACGGCGCATTGAGGTTACATTCAGAGTGGTTTCAAGGTTTCAAAGTGGTGGGCACAAAGCCGTCGTTCGCACGCAGGTTTGAGAGTAGTAGTTCGGGATTTCGCTGCGAGTAGGCCCACGGCTCTACAGGAATATCGTGGGCCCTGCGTTCTCTTACCGTTTGCCGGCAACCAGTGCAGAGGCAGAAGAGATGATGAGCAACTGGAAAAAATAGAACTGCCCCCATGATGTCACCCATCTTGTCCACCTTCTCGCCTTACCTCCTTACCTCCTTACCTCCTCCTCCTCTCCTTCTCCTCCTTTGCCTTTTCTCGTCTTCTCTCGCCTCTCCTCCTTCTCTCCTGCCTCCTCTTTCCTCTTTCTCTTGTTCGACTTCACCTCTTTCTTCTCTTCTCCTCTATTCTTCCTCTTCGCTTTATGAAGTCAGGCGCTTGGTCAAAGGGTAGACCTCCCCCGAGGTAGGCCGCGCGGCGGCCACGAGGGGGTAAAAAGGGCTCAAAACGGGCCTCGGCCAAGAGGGCTTTTGGTATTTTAGGGTGCCCCCTCGTGGCGCGTTTTTGCTTAGCCAGCATGCAGCGCCATTCCCAAAACTCTCGCCATTTTCGAGGCCTGCCGGGGGGCTCAGCACAGTGAGGGCGACGCGCAGATTCAAATTAGACCTCGTCATCCCTGGGGGGGGCTGCGATCTGTGAAACTGTCGCCATTTTCGATGCCTGCCGGGGGGCTCAGCACAGTGAGGGCGACGCGCAGATTCAAATTAGACCTCGCCATCCCTGGGGGGCTGCGATCTGTGAAACTGTCGCCATTTTCGAGGCCTGCTGGGGGGCCCAGCAGAGTGAGGGCGACGCGCAGAGTCAAATTAGACCTCGCCATCCCTGGGGGGCTGCGATCTGTGAAACTGACGCCATTTTCGAGGCCTGCCGGGGGGCCCAGCACAGTGAGGGCGACGCGCAGATTCAAATTAGACCTCGCCATCCCTGGGGGGGGCTGCGATCTGTGAAACTGTCGCAATTTTCGGTGCCTGCCGGGGGGCTCAGCACAGTGAGGGCGACGCGCAGATTCAAATTAAACCCCGCCATCCCTCGGGGGGCTGCGATCTGTGAAACTGTCGCCAGTTTCGAGGCCTGCTGGGGGGCCCAGCACAGTGAGGCCACGGCGCTGGAGCCCAAGGCTGGGGGGCGCACCTGGCGCGCACCTGGCGCTCTGGGCGCACCTGGCGCACCTGGCGCGCTGGGCGCACATGGCGCGCACCTCGCGCACCTGACGCACCTGGCGCACCCGGCGCACCTGTCGCACCTGGCGCGCACCTGGCGCACCTGGCGCATCTGGCGCGCACCTGGCGCGCAACTGGCGCGCACCTGGCGCGCACCTGGCGCGCACCTGGCGCGCACCTGGCGCGCACCTGGCGCGCTGGGCGCGCCTGACGCACCTGACGCGCTGGGCGCACCTGGCGCGCACTTGGCGCACCTGGCGCGCTGGGCGCACCTGACGCACCTGCCGCACCTGGCGCACCTGGCGCACCTGGCGCGCCTGGCGCGCCTGGTGCAACTGGCGCACCTGGCACACCTGGCGCGCACCTGGCGCACACCTGGCACACCTGGCGCATCTGGCGCACCTGGCGCACCTGGCGCGCTGGGCGCACCTGGCGCACCTGCCACACCTAGCGCAGACCTGGCGCACCTGGCGCGCCTGGCGCACCTGGCGCACCTGGCGCACCTGGCGCACCTGTCGCACCTGGCGCACATGGCGCACCTGGCTCACTTGGCGCGCCTGGCGCAACTGGCGCACCTGGCACACCTGGCGCAACTGGCGCACCTGGCGCGCACCCGGCGCACACGTGGCGCACACCTGGCGCACACCTGGCGCACCTGGCGCGCCACCTGGCGCACACTCGGCGCACGTGGCGCACCTGGCGTACCTGGCGCACCTGGCGCACCTGGTGCACCTGGCGCACCTGGCGCACCTGGCGCGCCTGGCGCGCTTGGCTCACCTGGCGCGCATGGGCTTCTGGGAGGCGGACCTGAGCGGGACATCGCTGTCCCTGGGGGACTGCGATCCACGAAACGGTCGCCACTTTCGAAGGCTGCTGGTGGGTCCTGCAGGGTGAGGCACCGCGCGGACCTAAGCGGGACCTCGCCATCCCTGGAGGGCTGCGATCTGCGAAACGGTCGCCACTTTCGAGGGCTGCTGGTGGGTCTTGCGGGGTGAGGCACCGCGCGGACCTGAGCGGGACCTCGCCGTCGCTGGGGGGCTGCGATCTGCGAAACAGTCACCTTTTTCGAAGGCTGCTGGTGGGTCCTGCGGGGTGAGGCACCGCGCGGACCTGAGCGGGACATCGCCGTCCCTGCACGGGCTGCGATCTGCGAAACTGTCGCCACTTTCGAAGGCTGCTGGTGGCTCCTGCGGGGTGAGGCACCGCGCGGACATGAGCGGGACCTCGCCGTCCCTGGGGGGTTGCGATCTGCGAAACTGTCGCCACTTTCGAGGGCTGCTGGTGGGTCCTGCGGAGCGAGGCACCGCGCGGGCCTGACCTCGCCGTCCCTGGGGGGCTGCGATCTGCGAAATTGCCGCCACTTTCGAGGGCAGCTGGTGGGTCCAGCGGGGCGAGGCACCAGGCAAATCTCAGCGGGACATCGCAATCCCTGGGGGGCTGCGATCTGCGAAACTGCCGCCAATTTCGAGGGCTGCTGGTGGGTCCAGCGGAGCGAGGCACCAGGCAGATCTGAGCGGGACATCGCTCCCTGGGGGGCTGCGAGCCTCACGAATGCCGCTTGCAGAAGTATATGCGCCCATGTTACGTCATCACATCAGTATAACGTCTCCCAAGCTACTCATGCCCCGCATTGCGCAGGGGTTGGGTACGTCGCCAGGCTAATTTTTCCCAACCCTCCTTGGTTGGGTATTCGTTTTGAATAGACGGGTGTGGTCGCGTCCTCCTCCCGCCTCCCGTCTCCTCCTGTCCTCTCTTCGCCGACGATGGAAGTTGCGATCTGCGAAACTGTCGCCACTTTCGAGGGCTGCTGGTGGGTCCAGCGGAGTGAGGCACCGCGCGGATCTGAGCAAGACCTCGCCGTGCTTGGGGGGGTTGCGATCTGCGAAGCTGTCGCCACTTTCGAGGGCTGCTGGTGGGTCCAGCGGAGCGAGGCACCGCGCAGATCTGAGCAAGACCTCGCCGTGCCTGGGGGGCTGCGATCTGCGAAACTGTCGCCACTTTCGAGGGCTGCTGGTGGGTCCAGGGGAGTGAGGCACCGCGCGGATCTGAGCAAGACCTCGCCGTGTGGGTGGCTGCGATCTGCGCAACTGTCGCCACTTTCGAGGGCTGTTGGTGGGTCAGGGGGGTAGGCACCGCGGGGTCGCGCAGACCTGAAGCAAGACCTCGCCGTTCATGGGTTTTCATGCGATCTGCGAAACTGTCGCCACTTTCGAGGGCTGCTGGTGGGTCCAGCGGAGTGAGGCACCGCGCGGATCTGAGCAAGACCTCGCCGTGCTTGAAGGGCTGCGATCTGCGAAACTGTCGCCAATTTCGAGGGCTGCTGGTGGGTCCAGCGGAGTGAGGCACCGCGCGGATCTGAGCAAGACCTCGCCGTGCTTAGGGAGTTGTCATCTGCGAAACTGTCGCCACGTTCGAGGTCTGCTGGTGGGTCCAGCGGAGTGAGGCACCGCGCGGATCTGAGCAAGACCTCGCCGTGCCTTGGGAGCTGCGATCTGCGAAACTGTCGCCAGTTTCGAGGGTTGCTGGTGGATCCTGCGGAGTGAGGCACCGCGCGGATCTGAGCAAGACCTCGCCGTGCTTGGGGAGCTGCGATCTGCGAAGCTGTCGCCACTGTCGAGGGCTGCTGGTGGGATCAGCGGAGTGAGGCACCGCGCGGATCTGAGCAAGACCTCGCCGTGTTTAGGGGTGTTGCGGTCTGCGAAACTGTCGCCACGTTCGAGGGCTGCTGGTGGGTCCTGCGGAGTGAGGCACCGCGCAGATCTGAGCAAGACCTCGCCGTGCCTGGTGAGTTGCGATCTGCGAAATTGTCACACTTTCGAGGGCTGCTGGTGGGTCCAGCGGAGTGAGGCACCGCGCGGATCTGAGCAAGACCTCGCCGTGCCTGGTGAGTTGCGATCTGCGAAATTGTCACACTTTCGAGGGCTGCTGGTGGGTCCAGCGGAGTGAGGCACCGCGCGGATCTGAGCAAGACCTCGCCGTGTTTGGGGGGCTGCGATCTGGGAAACTGTCGCCACTTTCGAGGGCTGCTGGTGAGTCCTGCGGAGAGAGGCACCGCGCAGATCTGAGCAAGACCTCGCCGTGCCTGGGGGGCTGCGATCTGCGAAACTGTCGCCACTTTCGAGGGCTGCCCGTGGGTCCAGCGGAGTGAGGCACCGCGCAGATCTTAGCAAGACCTCGCCGTGCTTGGGGGGCTGCGATCTGTGAAATTGTCGCCACATTCGAGGGCTGCTGGTGGGTCCAGCGGAGTGAGGCGCCGCGCGGATCCGAGCAAGACCTCGCCGTGCCTGGGGGGCTGCGATCTGCGAAACTGACGCCACTTTCGAGGGCTGCTGGTGGGTCTAGCGGGGTGAGGCACCGCGCAGATCTGAGCAAGACCTCGCCGTGCTTAGGGGGGTTGCGATCTGCGAAATTGCCGCCACGTTCGAGGGCTGCCCGTGGGCCCTGCGGAGTGAGGCACCGCGCAGATCTGAGCAAGACCTCGCCGTGCTTGGGGAGTTGCCATCTGCGAAACTGTCGCCACTGTCGAGGGCTGCTGGTGGGTCCAGCGGAGTGAGGCACCGCGCAGATCTGAGCTAGACCTCGCCGTGCTTGGGGGGCTGCGATATGCGAAACTGTCGCCACGTTCGAGGGCTGCTGGTGGGTTCAGCGGAGTGAGGCACCGCGCTGATCCGAGCAAGACCTCGCCGTGCTTGGGGCGCTGCGATCTGCGAAACCGTGGCCACTTTCGAGGGCTGCTGCTGGGTCCAGCGGAGTGAGGCACTGCGCAGATCTGATCAAGACCTCGCCGTGCTTTGGGGGCCGCGATCTGCGAAATTGTCGCCACGTTCGAGGGTTGCTGGTGGGTCCAGCGGAGTGAGGCACCGCGCGGATCTGAGCAAGACCCCGCCGTGCTTGGGGGGGCTGCGATCTGGGAAACTGTCGCCACTTTCGAGGGTTGCTGCTGGGTCCTGCGGAGTGAGGCACCGCGCAGATCTGAGCAAGACCTCGCCGTGCTTGGGGGGGCTGCGATCTGCGAAATTGTCGCCACGTTCGAGGGCTGCTGGTGGGTCCAGCGGAGTGAGGCACCGCGCAGATCTGAGCAAGACCTCGCCGTGCTTGGGGGGCTGCGATCTGCGAAACCGTCGCACCTTTCGAGGGCTGCTGCTGGGTCCAGCGGAGTGAGGCACTGCGCAGATCTGATCAAGACCTCGCCGTGCTTTGGGGGCCGCGATCTGCGAAATTGTCGCCACGTTCGAGGGCTGCTGGTGGGTCCAGCGGAGTGAGGCGCCGCGCGGATCCGAGCAAGACCTCGCCGTGCCTGGGGGGCTGCGATCTGCGAAACTGACGCCACTTTCGAGGGCTGCTGGTGAGTCCTGCGGAGAGAGGCACCGCGCAGATCTGAGCAAGACCTCGCCGTGCCTGGGGGGCTGCGATCTGCGAAATTGTCGCCACGTTCGAGGGCTGCTGGTGGGTCCAGCGGAGTGAGGCACCGCGCTGATCTGAGCAAGACCTCGCCGTGCCTGAGGGGCTGCGATCTGCGAAACTGTCGCCACGTTCGAGGGCTGCTGGTGGGTCCTGCGGAGTGAGGCACCGCGCAGATCTGAGCTGGACCTCGCCGTGCCTGGGGGGGCTGCGATCTGCGAAATGAACCTCACTTTCGAGGGCTGCTGGTGGGATCAGCGGAGTGAGGCACCGCGCAGATCTGAGCAAGACCTCGCCGTGTTTGGGGGGCTGCGATCTGGGAAACTGTCGCCACTTTCGAGGGCTGCTGGTGGGTCCTGCGGAGTGAGGCGCCAAGCAGATCTGAGCGAGACATCGCAATCTTTGGGGGGCTGCGAGCCTCACGAATGCCGCTCGCAGAAGTGTATGCGCCCATGTCACGTCATCACCTCCGTCTAACGTCTCCCAAGCTACTCATGCTCCGCGTTGCGCAGGGGGTGGGTACGTCGCCAGGGTAATTGCGATGGGATTCCTGCGACAGTGCGCTTGCATGGGCGTTCGAGCGATTTCGACATGCGCGCGCGAGAGGCCTCTTTGCTAGCGCGCGATGAACATGTCGCAAACATAATGATCTCCCCAAGGAGTTCGCAACGGCCGCAGGCTTTGTTTGAAGACCTTTGTTGCGAAACCATGTCTGTTTATATGTTTCGCGACTTTGGGTTTCGAGCGACGCGCGCGCGTTGCGTCCCAGTGTTATGCATGTTTCTGGGCACTCCTGATTTTTACATGCGAGTGCGCGCGCGTCGTTTTTTCTAGAGGACGAGGGGGGGCGAACTCCAGTCTGGCTGGGGTTGTATGAATTCATTGGCAAATGAACAAGGAAGCATTATAACATGTAAATTGCAATGCGGGAGGCCGGATTGATAAGTCTGAGGCGGATGGGAGTAGAATCTTAAGAAAAGAATTGAGAATTTACGCGGCGCAATGTATTTTCCAGACCTGAAGTTGTGAACACCGCTGCTTGCGCAATCATCCCACCCGCCCACCGCAATTTGGTTAGCACAACCAGTGCGTCGGCGATTGCGATGTCTTCGCGGCGCTTGCTGGCACATCGCCGCGGGCGCGCTAGCGCGCGCAGGTTCGCGCCTACAGCGGCCAGCCAGTCTGGCGCGACCGACGCGGCCGCGGTGTCGTTGACCAGCGCGACGCGCAGGCCGCGCCGGCGCGCGGGCGCCCCAGTGCGAGTCGGTGACTCGGGCGAGCGCGGTATCATGGCGACGTCGACAACGACACAAGTGACGGCGATTGTGGCGATTTTGGTGGCGAGGGCGACGATAACGACGTCAAGGCCAATACGGCGCCGATGCTGATCACGCCGGTGGCGGTGATGCTGCCCACGCGTCGGTGACGAAGTTTTGTGGAGGATTTCGACGCGCACACAGCCGACGCGGCCCGCATGGCATTCTTTGACAGGGATCGCCCCCCCCCAAGCACGCGCGCAAGGGCCTTGGAATAAGTTCGACATGCTCGCGAAAGGCATTCGCAAAAACGCTGTTGAAAACCAATGTGGTGAAACGTGCTTGATTGTTTTTGCGAAAGAAACATGATTTCGAAACGCTCGGCTTTGAAATGCGTACGGATACAAAGGTTCCTGAATGATTTCGGCATGCGCGTGCGACGCAGCGCGCATGTGGAAGTTGATGCTATTACATAAACGGGTGCGCGCGCATAGCATTTGTTGTCGAGGATATGTGGGCTTGAGACCAGCCTGGCTGGGATGGTTCGACTTCGCATTTCGAATGAACGATGGGGCACAATCGTGTGTCAATTGCGCGTCTTCAGGGTGGACCTAGACATCCGGGGGGGGGTAGATCCGGATCTCCTGGCGGAAAAATGCAAATCTACGACGGGCGGCGACGAGGCGTCGACGGGGCGGCAACGGCAGAAACATAGTCGCCGGACCACTGCCCAGGCCCAGGCGACGGGCGGCGACGAGGCGGCGACGGGCGGCGTCGGCGGCAACGTAGCCGCCAGACCGATCGACTGGCCCAGGCGACGGGCGGCGCCGAGGCGACGACGGGGCGGCGACGGCGACAGCATAGCTGCCTGATCGACTGACGGGCCCGCTTTTTCAGCTGAAGTAAGAAAGAGCCCCTAGTGCAAGCACGGCGTCAGACAAATATCGGCACCCAAAGATTCGATTGTCGATCGATCAGTTCGATCTTCGAATAGCCAGAGGCTGGATCACATACCAATTCCAGGCCTCTCAAGCCACACATTCACCCCCATACGCACGCGCTCCGACCAGAATTTCAAGGTGAGCCTGGCCGTGGGGGCGAGAGGGCGCCAGTGGCACCACAGACATCCATAACCCTGTAATGTCGCGCTCCTCTCCACCGTTGCCATTTTCCGGCGGGGCCACGCCTTTCCCAGTGGTGGTGGGGATGGGGGATGGTAGCCCTAGTTCTGCAAGATCCAATGGCGCGTTCCAGAAGAGGCTTCGCCTTCGAGGATCGTAGCAGTTGAAATTTCTTCCTCGGCGGAAAGCGGCGGACGTAAAACGAGGGCTGCTCCGCCGGCGGAAGGCGGCGGAAGCTCGGCGGAAGTTCGGCGGAAGGCGGCGGAACGGGAATCGTTCGGAACCCGCCACAGGGTCCCCCACGGCATCCTTCCCACTTCTTTGTCTTTGATCAAAAGTTGGAGCTTGACAGTTCGATCCTCGACACCTCGGCCCACGATTCGTAGGCGGGTGGGTCTCGCGCTCAGCGGCTGGTGAGCCACGCGGGTGGCCAGCCGCTCCCCCCTTCCGAGGAGACTTGATTGTGCAGGTCCGCCGCGTTCCCTCCCCCACCCTCCCATCGGGGGCGGCCAAGGGGTGCAGTTGAAGACTAGAGGGATGTACCATGACCGGGGCCATGATATCTCGAGGGATTTCATGCCCCCACTACGTTCCCGGGCCCCCTTCCCATCTGCCTCTGGCGCACCCGATCCTGGGAAACGAGAAGCAATCAGAAGAAAAGGGTGGAGAGACCAGGAAGGGGAGGGAAATTGGATACACCTGGGGCGGCTAGCCTCGGCGAGAGTTGGGTATATATCAGGATGCATGTCTTTCCAGTGTTCCGGCTCCCGTGGCCGTGTACACAGGGCTCCCGCATGCGTATCAAGCGCTATCCAGGCAATTGTGTCGATCATTGGTAATACCCCCTGTCGACCATTGGCTATCTGGATGTTCCACCTGCGAATCCAAGCATTTGTGTCGATCATTGGTGATACCCCCCCGAAGGAGGCAAAGCACCTGCTCGCCACCGGTGGGGACGACGGACATATTGCTCTCTACGACATCAGGCGCCCCCTGCCCCCCGCCCCCAGAGGCTGCCGCGCGTTGGGCCTTCGGCGGGCTTCGTCGGCGGCCCCGTACAGCGGCGCATAGGCTGGCGGTTGCGTCGGTGTCGATGTCGGCGTTATCGTCGTCGTCGTCGCCGCGGTCGTCGCCGCGGTCGTCGTCGTCGACGTCGTCGTCGTCGTCGTCGTCGTGGTCGTGGTCGTGGTCGTCGTCGTGGTCGTCGCGGTCGTCGTCGTCGTCGTCGTTCTTGCATTCGTTGTTGTCGACATGTTGCCGCCACCCTTCCCCCACTCCCTGTCAGTCTCCCTCACATTTCCTTCCCTCCATGGCGTCTCCCACTCCTCGCCACCACACCCGCGCCATCCTTTCCCTCTCGGCGCACGTCCGCTTCCCCTCCCTCCCGCCCTCTCCCACACTCTCCCACGCCTCTCCCCCCCGCCCCATTTCCTCTTCATCGTCTCTCCTTCTTTCCGCGCACCTCGTTTCTCCATCCCCCGCCCCCCCCCCCCAGACACACACACACACACACACACATCCGCATCCGCCTTCCCTCTCCCCAGATCGCTTCCTCCTCCTCCTCATCCTTGCCCTCCGCTTCCTCCTCCTGCTCGTGGTCCTCCTGCTCCTCCCTCCATCGTCCCGCTTCTGCTCCTGCATCCTGTTGCCTCCGCTCGTGCTGCCGCTGCTCATTCTACCACCACCTTGCCGCCCCCTGCCCTCCTCAACACCTTCTCTCCCTGATGTGTGTCCATGCGTCTCCCCGTCCTCCATCAGCTCTCCTCCCATGTATCTCCTCTCACCCATCTCTGCTCTCCCTCCTCTTGTTCCCCCGCTTCAGCCTGTTATCCGTACTCATCCGTGCTTCCTTATCGTCGTCCTCCGTTCGTCCTTACCGTCAGCATCTGGCTTGTATCTACCAGTTAGCTTTCCCTTTTCTCTTATCTCATCCTTCCTCCGTAATATATTATCCATCTACCTTGTGTCCATCCCTCTCCGATATTCCTCCTCTTCCTCGTCTCCTCTCCCCTCTCCCTCCGTCCTCCTCGACACCCCTCCTCGTCCTCTACATCTTCCTCTCTGCCAGCGAGGACTTGGCAGATTGCGCAGACCATCGACACCAACCAGGAGGGGTGAGGGTGACAGGGCATGCAGGCGGCTAGCCCAGTAAAGGGGAGAGATAGGATGGGGAGGAGGAGATGGAGCCGGAGCTGGGAGGGGGGAGGCTGGCGGGGCAGAGGAGGAAGGGAGCAGGGTGGAGTTGTGGAGAAAGTTTGACGAACGGTTGAAGAGTAGTATGGTGAGGGTTCCCCCTCCCCCCACCAGAAAAACTCGTCGTCCTTCTGCCTTCCGCCTGTGTAGTGCACACGTGCTAGCAGATGACCTCCAGAACATCGCAACTGCCAGAGTTTCTTCACTCCTGTCTTTCCGCCGACGGCCATGTCTTCAAAAAGCTTGAGACCCGGAGTGCGAGACACCACTGCAAGTCTAGGGAAACTCGTCACTTGGTGATCTGTAAGCTGTTATTGGCTTTGACCGCCACACCACACCCTCTTGGTCGGAGTACATCCCCGTGACGTTGGGGGTCTGCATTGAGACCCTAATCCCATTCACTTGGGCCCCTGAACTGGAATATATCCAAGCCAGGCAAACGAACAGCATTTAATCATCTGAACACGGCAGTGCCACAGCTTTGTGATCCCAGCTGTTCATGACGGCGGCATCTAGCCGATTGTGCCCACGGCACCCGTTGCAGGGAGCGCGGACTTTAGCTAGCGAACTTCGCAGGCAGACTCGACATCTCCGAACCCCGCTGGTGACTTCCCATTGGTGCTGCAGCTTAGGTGCCGAGGGAGCAGGAGGAGAAGGACCCCGCTCCAAATCCTTGCCTTCCCCTTCTTGCTTCCCCCCTTCGCTGGCCGCCGATTGGGCGGCTTACAAGAATCCGGGCCTTGGGAGCATTGCCACATAACATTCGGGTGCTGCCAGAAGTGCCCCTGGCCAAAGGCGGCCAAAGGTGCCCCCAGATTCCCGCTCCATTTTGGAGCCCCTGGGGCCCGCTGGGCCTCGTGAGGGGTGCCCTGGAGGCCGACTCGGCCACCCCGAGAATCCTGGGGGTACCCTGGGCCAGGGGTACTTCTAGCAACACCCGAAACATAATAGCAACCATTGTACGCAGCAGACGAGCCGTCCATGACACGGCCCATCCCACAAAGGCAGACAACGCAGCCGCCTGTGGCGACTGCGCACAGGTCAGCCACACGGAGGCCGACGCCTCGCATGGAAGAGTGGCCATCGAGCCGGCCGTTGCCATACACCGCGCGCTCCTGCGGAGCTCAGACACAGGGCGCCTAATGCAGGACCCATCAACAAACAGAGGACCCCACACCCACACACCCACCCACACACACACACCCACACACACAAGTCTGGAGAATTGGTGACGGGGTCCGGGGACCCAGGACAACAGATCTCAGGAACGTTCCGATGAGCCAACATCTCCCCCTTGGAACTCGGCATCGGAAAGCAGCCCCCAGGTTGCCGCCTGAAGGCTCCGAACATCCAGAGTGGCCGTACATCATCAGCACTGTCACATTGGAAGGCAGCTTCGAGCACCTCGTCATCCACTACTCCATCTCTTTCGTGCGCACGCGGCGGGCAGTCCCACAAGCGATACCAGATCGTGTCCACAGTTTGCTTGCATAGGCTGCACAGGTCTCTAATTTGATACAGCCTGTAAGCCAGGCTGAGCTCGGCGTCCAGATCGCACTACAGGCCAGAGCTCACTTTGTCGATCGATCCTTGGGGCTGGTACGCGTTGACCGGAGTGTCGCTTTCAAGAATGTTCCAGCACAGGTTGTGGTGCACCCCCAGCTTTCCCCGAAGCGTCGTTCCAGACCCCTCGGCACGGCAGCACGACACAGTGCAGGAGCGATTTTTGCGGACAACCGAATTAGTGCCAGGGTTTCCCCGAAGTCATCCACAATCGTGCAGAAGTTGGTAATTTTCCAGCCCAAACGATACCAGGACATCTTGAGAGCCAATGTGGGCCCTCAACCCTGGCCCAGGACCAAGCATCCCTGGACAAACGAAGCAGCCTTACATTCCAACATTGTGTACCGAGGAAGATGTTTGGCCAACGAGGTTGTCCCAGGCGCTCTTCGAGATGGACAGCAACCTGGGTCCCAGGCTTCAATAACTCTCGGGAGCGTGTCCGTGTGAGACAGCCCCGTATCATCCACATAGGCGTCGACGTCAGTGCATACCTGCACGGGGACCCCATCGAAGGCCTAAGAGGGAAAATGCAGATATCGGTGGTGTGCATCGAGCAGCCGGCCACCACCCCCGAAACAAACCCTTCGATGAATGAGGCTTCTAGACTAAGAAAGTTGCACGCCTTATGAGAAGCACGGGCCACCCTGATAATGGCAACAGGGAGGTCCCATAAGGCATGCTGGCCTTCAAGGTACTCGAGAGAACTTCTGTCATACGTGGCGGACGCTTTCCCTTGGTAACCCCAGACTTCACCCTGAAAGACTGCCTCCAAACAACGTCAGCCGCCCTGCGATTGTATCCCCCGCAGCCTAGTACGGCTTCGCAACACGCTTAACCCACGCCAACGCTCGAGTTATCCTGGCTTGGCCGCATAGCCGATACCAGGACACAACAAACCTGAGGGGACGGTAGCCCCCCGCCAGCTTGGGCAACAGGGCCCCCCCCGCCAGCTTGGGATACAGGGCCATCAGCACCACCATCAGATGTTGGTGGAGGCACCTGGCCTTCTACGACGTCGAACATTTTCGTCTCCTCCTCTCCAATCTTCCTGCCTCGGTTTCATCCTCCTTCACAGCGCCCACCTCGTCTCCCTCCTATCACCCGTTCCTTCATTGTTCTCCTCCTCCGCCAGATCCTTTTCGCTCTCCAGATGCCTCCGAACATCTCTGGACATTCTTGAACAATACCATACCTTTTTCATACCTCTCATCATCATGTCTTATTCCTCTGATCCACCTCGTTTTCCTCGTCGTCTGCTCCCCCGCATCATCCTCATTCCTCCTCAAAGTGTTGTTGACATCTCGTGCTGCCTTTCGGGCCCGCCCAGCGGCGTTCTGTGTCACGTCGCGGTGCCAATCGTGCAGTGCACGTGGTTCGGGTTGGTTGTATACAAAAGCGCTCCTCCCCAGACAACAGACGCCGTGGTTGTTTCACAGCGTTGGCCCCTGGGGGTCCCCACCCCTTCCCGGGGCCAGCCTCTCCTCTCGAGTCGTCTTTAGACTGGCCCGGGGCCAGCAACGACCTCCCGAGCGCCGAAACTTGTCAGATGTTTGCCACCGTGCTAATTATCGTATTCACGGCGCGAGTGGGTCAGTCTGGGGAGGAGGAGTAGGAGGAGGCGTCGGTGGGAGGAGAAGGAGGCGTCGGAGGAGGAGGAGGAGGGAGAGTGCACGAGGAGGCGCGTCGGCGGAGGAGGAGGAGGAGGCGGGGGAGGAGGAGGCAGCGGAGGAGCAGGAGGAGGGGTCTTGGGAGGAGGAGGACGAGGAGGCGAAGGTGGCACCGTGAGGGGAGGTGCACGACGGCAGCGAGGCGCCGAGCCGGAGGGGGCAGGGCTGCCGCCCCGCCGCGGCCGCCCGGTACCCGGCCGTCTGCCGCTGGTGGTCGGTCGCTGCCGCCGCCGATGGCCGATTTTCGAGTGGCGTTGCTCGATGTCGATCCCGGAGGTTTCTTCTTTCCCCGCCCACCGAGAACCACCCTAACCCAGCCCAAAGGGCCCCGATGTGCCCTCCGTTTCCACTGGTGGGGGGGCGGCGTCGGGGAGCATTGGCGCTTGGCATCGCTCGGACGTGTGCATTTTTTCAGCGAGGGCCATCGAGGAGCATCTTGGATTATCGAGGTGAAAATGCACGCACGAAATCGAAACGTGCACGGGGAATGGACGTCCGAGCGATGGCGAGTGGCGAAGCACATATGGAGCCCGTGCCCGCCCCCCCAGACCCAGAATTTGGGTCTTCGGGTTGGGTTGGGGTGGCCTGGTAGGCAGTCGTTCTTCAACCCCGGCCTCCCGGGGGCCGCTGTCCCCGGCCCTCCCACGGGGGGCCAGAGCCCCCTCCTCCTCCTCCTCCTCCTTCTCCTCCTCCTCCTCCTCCTCCTCCTCCTCCTCGCCTCCTCGGTTTGTGGTGTGGGGTCGGAGGATCAGGCCGCCGTTGGTCGTCGCTGCCGCCGCCGACGACCTTCCCAGACTGTTCGGCGGACTTCCCAGACTGTTCGGCGGAGCGGCGTTGTTCAATCCCAGAGGTTGTTGCTTCAGCTTCGGCCTCCCAGGGGGCCGTTGTTCGAAGGAGAAGAAGACGACGACGACGACGAAAGAGCGGCACAAGCATCAGTTCTCGGAGGTCAGCGCGGATTTCTTGGCTCTGCGCTGGATCCCCTTGGTGGCGCATCTGGTGCCGCCCCTGGCGCGCTCCGCGCGCCAGGGAGGAGTGTCCAAAGCTCACGTTTCCAGACCACCCAGGGCCATCAATAATGGATCCTTGGCGAACAGTTGCCCGCGGGAAAGGTGTGGACTTCTCATCCGAGGCGGAGATGCATCCATGACCACCGCCTGGAGGATCCATCTTCGGGGACCTCGGCAGGCGGTGGATCTGTGGATATGGATATATTCGGGCCAGGGGGGGAGAGGAGAGGGGCAGATATACAAATACCCACCGCCTGTCGAGGCCCGCGAAGGTCGTTCTGGCGGGCGGTGGTTATGTCTGACGCCGGGGCATAAGGCCTGCGGACTGAAAGCACCACACCGTCGGATGCTTGTCTGTGCATACAGTTGGAGAAGGAACGCCGGGTGGTCTAGCAGCAGGAGCGGCAGCACGAGCCCAGCTGCGGTCATGACCACGTGCATGATCATCATGATCATGATTCGATCATGGGTAGAACTAGCCAGGGGCATGAGTAGGAGCAGGAGAAGGAGGAGCATTATGATGAGCAGCAGCAGAAGAGGCAGGAGGACGAGAAGGAGAGTGAGAAGGAGACCTCTTGTAGCCCTTCGAGCCCCCTACGAGCCACTGGAAGCAATTATCGACGCTTCGCCTGTCTCCACCAGCCCATACAACACTATTCACCAGGCGAGTTGCGCTGATCAGGAATGTGTATCCCCATGCAGACACACTCGTGGAGTCGATTGGAGGCGCCTCGGGACCATCGTAGGGCCCTCTGGAGCCATTTTGGAAGTCATGAGAGCTATCTTGGGGTCGTTTTGGGGCTCTCTTGGGGCTCTCCTGGGGCCATGCTGGAGGCCTAGGGGGCCATCATGGAGGCCATCCATCATAGAAGGGAGGGTTCTTAATTCGCCCCCCCACCTTCCGCCCTCCCCCCCTCTTAAGGGCGTCTCGGGGCGCTTTGGGAGACGTCTGGGGATTCTATTGGGACCCCCTTTGGGCTCTCTTGGGCCATCTTGAGGCATCAAGAGCCCATCGGAAGCGAAACGGAGAGAAGTTAACAGCATCATGGTTTCCCTGCGGTGTTGGGAGGACTTGGGCTTCTCGGGGGGATCTTCGGAGGCTGCGAGGCCACCTAGAGCCGTCGCGGAACGGTCAGGGCTCCTTTTGGAGGCAGGTTGGAAGTGGTAGTGAGCCAGATCGCGTTATAGTTTGAGGTCTTGGAGGCCATCTTGGGCTATCTGCCATCGTGGCCCTCTTTGGGCCAATCTTGGGTCATCTTGGACACTCCAGCTCCTCGCGAAACGCCCCCCTCCAGACCCAGAGAGAGGGGGTGCGGGGAGAGAGAAAGCTTGTTTCCCAAGGGGGAGGGGAGGTTGAACGAACTGACTCGTTGAACTATCTTCGCACGAAGGACTGGTCAGAGTAAAGCAAATCAGCAAGATAGAAAGGAGGTAGGGGACCTAACACCCATTGGCTGCCCTCCCCTATACGTGAGCGGTCGAACGATGGGGGCCCAAATCTATGGGTCGCCGCATCCGATTACAAAACAGATTTAGACAGGGTTGAGCACACGAGCATATGGGTAGCATTGAGGGAACAAGGCGTCCAGCCTGGATACAAAGCTATACTCCAGCAGCTTTGCGAGGGACAGACAGTCACGGTGAAGATAGCCGTCAGCAGCAGACCCTTCAGCCTCTTGCGGGGCACGAAGCATTGCGACCCACTTCGCTCCCTACTTGCCAGCGCTTTTCTGCGTCGCAGCGTTGGGCCGCTGATCTCCGAGTGGCAGCAGATGACGGAGGGAATTGAATTAGGGTTCGCGAGCACCGTCACGCTTATACAAGCGGGGCCAAAGGCAGCACGGTGGCCAACGCAAGCGTTGGGACGAAGAAGTCCAACCCGCACCGGCCGCCCACACATACCCACTCTAGTATACAACCACGCGGCATCCGATGGACGCAAACAGCCCAAGTCACCGACACATGTATGGCACTCGAGCATCATTACGCGGACCTCACACCAGCAAACGCCCTATAACCAAGACCCATCAGGTAAACGCCCCGCAACAGTCGAAACGCATCGCATCGCATCGGCTGCCCTCCCCTGTTTCGTCATCTACTCCCCTTCTCCCCCCTCGCTGTCCTCCTCCCTCAACGATCTGCCCTCGGGCCTATTCAGGGGTATGCGTCAGCTAGGGTCGCGAGGCGAATCCGACCATGACAAGGAGGAGAGCGAAAGCCGAATTCAAACCATACATCACATGTTATTTGCATATGTTTATGTGTATGCCGGAACATGTCTACACACCATGTGTATCTGGTTAAATAATTGTGTATGTGGTTAAATGCGTGTCTGTACATATAGAGAACATCGAATATCGAATTCATGTACACATGTGCATAATTGTGTATGTGGTTAAATACGTGTCTGTACATATAGAGAACATCGAATATCGAATTCTCGAGACGCGAATCCTCGAGGAGCACGAGGCAGGGGAACATCGGGAGGCGGAGTGGCTCGGCCGCGAGGTGAAGCGCATTGCTTTCGACCACTCGGGCACGATGCTCGCTGCCCCGTGCGTGACGGGCGACGTGCTCGTGTACGACGTCGGCCAACCCCAGGCAGGCCCCTCGCCTTTGTCGTTCGAGGATCGGGATTCGAAGTTGTTGTACTTGTTCGCGGCCGAATGCATGACGAGCCCCGTGCTGGTGTACAACACTTGCCGCCCCCAGACAGGCTCGTCATCGCCATCCGACTTCTGATTACTTCTGAGAGTTATGAAGGCGGAGTTGTCTTGCTGGTTTTGCCGTCTGGAGGCCCGTTTCCGCGGCCCACGCTGGGGTACAGCACGAGCCACACCCAGGTAGGCTCGCCGTCGTCGTCGAGGAGGAGACGGGGGAGGAATAACACAAATCGCTCCCGAGGTTTTCTTCAATTTCGGTGTCCAGGAGGGCCCAGCAATGTCAGGAATCGATTTAGAATGTCCGACCTGTGATATTCCAGGTTGTTCATGTTTGGCCCTCTTCGTCGTCACGGCTTGATGCGCTCCGAAGTTGTGGTCAGAACGCTCCCGAGGACAGGGCGAGAGGTGAATATTTTAAAGGTGGCGACCCTCGACTTCCGACGTCTCAGACAAAAACCAAGGGGCGGACGTCTTTCAAGTGTTCTCGGCGTCCAGAGGCCCTCCTCAGGCCAGGTATCAACTTCTGTTGCTTGTGGGAAGGGTTCGGCGGGCCCGGCCCATGGATAAACAAATCACGACGTCGGTTCCGAATCGGAGCAGTGTGGGTCGGGACGGAGCTCGAAGACGTAGTCCTGCGTGTGTCTGGGATGGGTACAGGGACTGATTTGAGCTCTCTCCGCCCTTACCTCCTTCCCCCGGGAGGAGGGACGAGGAAGACACGGGAAGGTGTCGACGAGAGCGAGGAGGGAGAATCAGGAGGACGAAAAGGAGGGTGACGAGACGAACAAGATGAATATGATGTCACATGATGAGGACGAATGGGGGGGGAGGAGGAGGAGGAGGAGATGGAACAAATATGGATGATCAGGAGGAGGTGGAGGACGAGTGTAGACCCAAGACTCATCAACGATGTTGCAATACACCCTCCCTCCAAGTTTCTTCTGCATAGGTCTCTACAAGAATCCGTGTTCATTGCGGGTACCTTCTCACTGGAGAATAGCCGTCTGATATTCACAGATGGTGCAAAAGATATGTAGTTCTGGGGACTCCACCGCCACGAATCAACGTGCCTGTTACGTCATGATTATCATAAAGCGCGACATAATTTAACCCCAAGGATTTCAACACCGCGGATCAAAGTGATTGTTGCGTCCTGACAATCCCAAGTCGTGCCAGAGCACCATTCCTGGTACTTCAACTTTACGCATCCTCAAACCTGCTGTAAACTTTCACAACGAAAGTGCGTGGCGAAAGGAAACCGCCCTTCATTCCTCAAATAGTTGCAAACGTTTACAAGGCATGTGGGCGGCGCTAAAGCGATAGCCACATTTTGAAAACCACCGGACCACCTGGAAATTGCTGCAAATTTCTAAGACGAATGTGCACGGCGCACAGGCGAGAGCCACGATTTGGAAACGACTGGCCCTCCGTCCGTGAAACTGTTGGAGCTTCGAAGTTCCATGATCACAAATGGCGGGGACGTCTCAGTCGAAACGCCCGGCGCGCCCTACGGACACGTCTGGGGGTGCGACAGGGATGAGCTAATTATGCGGAAATTGGAAAAGAGCTGGAGGAGGAGAAGGTGTCGTAAGTAAGAATACGAGGTGAAGGAGAGGAAGGAAGAGGAGGTAGAGGAGCATGTGAATGACGGGGACGTCGACCATGAGGGAGGAGGAGAAGGAAGAGACCCTTCCCAAATTCTTCAGAAACTTCAGAGTCCTTCAGAAACTGTTGATACCATTGAAAGTCTTCCTCACTCCTCCTGCCTCTCTGCCCTCTTCTGTCCCAAGGCGATCCCAGGAGACCCAGATAGCCTCCAGGGCCCCTCTCCCGAGGCCCAGATGGCCTCGAGGGCTCCCCTCCCGAGGCCCACTCCAGGGTTCCAAAATGGTGTGAAAAGTTGTTGCATCTCGGACCAGGATGAAACTTCAGCCCTCCCTCCTCCAGCCCTCCCTCCCCTCCCCCCTGCCACTTCTGGAGGCCCATTGGGTGTCCCCGGAGATCCTGGAAGGGAGGCCCAATACGACAGGAAACGCTTAAATGCGTCGATCTCCGCTGAGTCGTTCTCCAGATGTATCTGGAAGCTTCTCGGGGCCTTGGGGGGTGCCCGCGAAGGTCCCCAGAGAACTGGAGTCTTCTTGAGGCCCGAGAAGGGCCAGAAACGCCAAAACCTGGATCCTCGTTCCTACCCCCACCCCCCTTTCCCTTCCCTCCCTCCTCCCAAGACATCCGGTGCAGCAGCAAAGACACCAACTTGGCCCGTTTGTCGCCAGTTTGGGCGTCTGGAGGCTGGTTTCGGGCCCCGGGACCATCGACAAACTACTGGGAAGAAGCAGCTGCCACGAGAAGTCAGGTGGTCCACGCATCGAATTATATTATGTGGCAAACTTGGGGAACTGTAGAATGTCTTCGAATTGGGTTTTTTTGTTGAAGATAGCGGCACTTTGCGGCACGAGCGCTTGCGGTCCCGATGGGGCCGGCGGTCTCACTCACGCGCCCGTGGTTTCACGGAGGTCGGCGACCCCGAGCCCTGATTTACATGCCCGTGGCCCAGATGGGGCTACACGGCCACTAAGTGCCACTAAATGGTAATTCTCGGAACCACTAACGGCACCAAGCACCACTAAATGGTAATTTTCGGAACCACAAACGGCCACTAAGTGCCATTAAATGGTAGAAGTCGGGCTACTAACTGCCGCTAAATGGCATTTTAATTCTCTGAGCCACTAGCGGCCACTAAGTGCCACTAAATGGTAATTCTCGGAGCCACTAGCGGCCACTAAGTGCAACTAAATGGTAATTCTCGGAGCCAGTAGCGGCCGCTAGGTGCCACTAAATGGTAATTTGTTGGGCCGCCAAAGGCCACTAAGTGCCACTGAACGGCCGCTAGCGGCCACTAAGTGCCACCAAGTGGTAATTCTCGGCGGTCGCGAAGGTCAGCCCGAGGTTCCCCAGAGAGCCCATGCAAAATTAGATGGTGGCGTACCAACCCTTTCAAAACATTTGGCTGATACATATATATTTATGTGTGTATGTGTGTATGTCTGCATATACATATATGTGTGTATGTGTGCATATATATATATATATATATATATATACTTATATATATATAGGACCGCTCAACGCAAACAAACATGTTGCAGGACCCGCAGAGCGCATGAGCTCCCAGAAGTACGCAAGAACGCATGCAGGAATAAGCAAGATAGAGCCGGAGACTGCAGCATACGGAGGGGTATGAAGGAAGGACACGCATGTTCAGTAACAGCAGCAGCGCCGAGCGCTACATACTCCGGAAAGAACAGCGCCATGCGATCGTTCTATAGCAGCACAGCGCTTCGTGCTGAGCGAGGCAAGCGCGCGGTGTGGCATGGCGGGTCAGAGGCAGCTGGGGATGGGAGGCCATGCGGGCAAAAAAAACAGCAGCGCCATGCGCTGCGTGGCGCCGCGGCTCCCTGCGAGCTGCGATGCGGCAGCGCCGAGCGCTGCGTGACGGGACAGCGCCGCGCGCTATGATAACCCTTGCCATTTAGGATGTGAGTACTTGTCAGTTGCATCTCTCGTCGCGACCTTCCAGGAGCCCGCGAAAGTGGCGATAGTTGCGTACTTCGCAACCACGCAGGGAACCGCGAGGTCCCAACGGGGTCTGTGTACCACTACACTCCGCTGGACCTCCCAGGAGCCGACGAAAGTGGCGACCATTGCGCACTTCGCAGCCCTCCAGGGATGCAAGCAGGACGAAGGAGAGAAGGGAGGAGGAAAGGAGAACGAGGAGACAGGAGGCAGGAAGTAGGAGGCAGGAGGCAGGAGTGGGGAGGAGGACGGAAGAGTGGAGACCACAGTCTTCTATCCAAAACGAGAACCCAAAGCAGGAGGGTTGGGAACACATCGAAGCGCCGGGCTATGTTTTGTTTACGCAAGTTTGGTTTGCCTAGTTGGTTCTTATGTGTTTTCGAAGAAAGGCTGTTGCGAGCGGGCCCCTCCCGGCGGGCAATGCCACGCAACGATTCAGGTAATGCCAAGCATTGCAAGTCATTGCCAATCTACGCTTTGCCCGACATTGTTTTGCATTGCCCAGAATTGTCTTTACTTGCTTTGGAAGGAAGGCAGACGACTTCCAATCGGGGTCGCACCAGGTTCATCTCATCCTCCCGCGATAACGGCCGTTACAAAGGGGACTGGGGGGTAAGGGCCGGTGACGTCACTATTCGCGCCAGCGCCATCTGAAAATTAGCGACCCTTGGCCAACCCCAGACGGCGCTGGTGCGAGTCGTGGCGTTACCAGGGGGAGGGGGGGAAGGGGGGGAGCAAGCTAGGTGCGCTCGCGTCATATCTGACGCCCTTACCATGACGTAGATCTCCTCTCTATTCGCACAGTCGGATGTCGAGCAGGGCAATGATCCCGAGAGGGTGCGCGATGCATCATAGAGCACGGCGTAGCAGGGGGTAGAAGAGCACGGCAGAGCGTAGTATCTCATAGCGTGGCGTGGCGTTGCGTAGTGAATAATTGCATCACAAAGCACTGCAACGCAAAGAATGGCACCGCACAGCGGCACAGAACAGAACATGGCATGGCATGGCGTTGAAGATCAAAGCGTAGCATGGCACAGCATGGCGTGGCACTGCCTAGTCAAGCACTGCATATCCTAGCATTGCAGCTGAAGGCATGGCATCGCACAGCGGAACACCACATAGCATTGCATTGCATGCCGTGGCATGGCACCGGAAATTCTGACGCCAACGCTGCAGCGGGAGCACGATTCGGAACGAGCGGAAGCGCGGAAATGAGGCCAGCGTTGCAGCGGGAGCACAATTTGGAACGAGCGGAAGCGCGGCAATGAGGCCAGCGCTGCAGCGGGAGCACGATTCGGAACGAGCGGAAGCTTGAAAATGAGGCCAGCGCTGCAGCGGGAGCTAATTTTTGGAAAAACACACACACACAACCAAAAAAAAAAACAGCGAACACCCAACTTGAGGCATTCCTGTGTGTAATAAATCAATACGCGGAGGGGTGCCAGACATCTTTTGGACGTCACCAAGGGGGAGAGGAGAGTAGTATTCATATTGTGTAACTAATTGTGGAGGGGTGGGGGCGTCGCCGTGCCCAGTCACAGGCACCCCATCGAGAATCGCTCAAACACGCACTCCAGATGTCTGATCCCAACCTCCCCCCCCGCCCCAACGACGGGAGCAAGGGCGAGCAATGGGCGCGCGACGCGCCAAGGCGAAGCAGGTCGCTCAGCTCGCTGGCCACGAGGAAGTTGCCACCGCTGCCGCCAGGTGCCTCCGACGACGTGATCTGTCGAGGTCCTCTCCACCTCCACAGATGTCCGACGATGTGTTTTTGTTGGTCATGCTTTTTCGCGCTTGATTTCGGCCTCCAGGGCCTGTCATTGGGCCCCGGGACCGCCAAAAAGGATCCAGGGCGAAAGGTTGCCCCCGAGGAGTCGGGAGCTCGGGCGCCACGGATTGGACAAACCATATCGGATTTGTCTGGGTCCTTCCTTCCCTCCCAGACTTTCCAGAGTACTGGGCGATAGCCCTACAGACCTGCAGGCCTGCCAGGACTGCTTACAGCCTCCGGCCGGAGCTCCAATCCAAAGGTCCTGGTGGTATTTGTGTCTTCCTGGAACTCAGGCCCCCCTCGCCGCCTCCCTCCCTCCAACCTCCTCCCTCTTCCCTCCGCGCGCGCCGGTGCGGGCGCGTCGCGCCGTCGCCGCCGCTGCCGCCGCGGGCCTCTCACGTTGACAGAGTGTTGGTTTTGGGCACGCACGTTCGCCTCTCCGTGGCGTGTGTTGTGGCCCTTGCATCCGCCTGTTGCAGTCCGGGCTGGCATGCTCGGCCTCTTCCGTCGCTGGTTCGCCTGTCTTGTCGTGTACGGTGCACGTCCAGTGCTTCCACACGTGCTCGCCCAGCTCAGTCGCCACCTTTTTTTTCTGCAGGTGACTCGCCCTGCGTAGTTTTTCCGATCTGCAACGTCAGGTGGGTGGAACTGACGCTAAGCGTGCCCCGCCTCAGCTCTCGCTGCAGGTGACGCCACTCGGGCACTGGATACTAAAACACTTGTTTTGGGTTATCCGTCCGCTGTGTGGCTCTCCCCGCGCTGGCCAGCGTGATGCAGAGCACGTGGTCGCCTTGGAGAAAGTGTTTTTGCATATGTTTGTGACTCCCGGGGGGCTCCTCTCCCTGCTTCGGCCTCTGGGGGACCCTCTTGGTCTCCAGGACCATCAGGGCACGTCCTGGGGCAAAGCACCAGCCCCGGAGTGAGGGTGTCGAGAGATCTTGGCTCCCCTTTCCGAAGGCTGTCGACAGTTTCTGGAGGTTGTCGAATCGCCTCCTCCTCCAACGCCTCCCTCCGACTCCCGCCATACTCCCTTCCACTCCTCTTCCAGGCCTCTTTTGTTCTCCTCATGCCCCTCCTCCGCTTCCTTCCCCAGCTCCCCCCCTTCCTCTTCCCTCCCCCCCCCTCTGCACCCCCCTCATCCCACCCTGCTGCGCACCTCCTCCCATCCGCCTCGCCAGCCGCCCTGGCGCTGGACCTGAGCGCGCGAAGGGGGGGGGAGTTGGCGCTCGCCGCCAGCGCTCGGCGTCAGGACTGCGTCTTCGGCGTCGCGTGGGGCGTCGAGGACCCTGGGACCGACAAGGCGAAGAGGCGTGGCCGCCGGCGCTGGCGCACTCCACTGGCGCAGCAGCGAGCTCAGGAGGGGCAGCAGCAGTGAGCGAGGGAGGGTCACAGAAAAGCCGTTAGAGACGCCGGGTGTCCATGGTGCTCCGTAGCTGCTCCCATGGGTCTAGCAACTGTTGCGTCTTGCCTCTCGCTCGTGGGGCCAGCCGTTGGATGGAGGGTTATTTGCGTACCCTACCTCCGCGGGTCCAATCGCCCCTTGGGATTCGGGCACCCCCGCTGGGTTCACTTGGCTGCAGACGTCCTTCATGCTCTTATCCCCGAGCCCCCGCTGGTTGTTCAGAGGTCTGACCTGCAGTGGTAGAGTCCTCATGTGGCTGCCTCATGGAGGAGCAGCAGCAGGCGGAGGAGCAGGAGCAGGATGACAGCGTCAGGGAGAGCATGAGGAGGAGGAGGAGGAGGAGGAGGAGAATGAGGAGGAGGAGGAGGAGGAGGAGGAGGAGGAGGAGGAGGAGGAGGAGGAGGAGGAGGAGGAGTTGGAGTGGGGAGAAGCAGGAGGAGGCTTCTGCGCGCAGGGGGCTGCGACGTCGTCGTCGTCGTCGTCGTCGTTGTCACGACTTCGTCTTCGCCGGGTTTGCGCAAGTTGCTGGGCAGCCGGTTTGGGGATAAGAGCCTACAGGCGACATGGGGCATCGTTCAGTTGAGACGAGAGCGACGCAGAAAAACGAGGTCCATTGAGGGGACATTCTCGTGTAAGTTGTCCGCGTAAGGTCGCGCGTAAGCGCCCTTTATTTCCTCGCGGCATGTTGCGGAAGCGTATTGCGAAAGCCACCGCGTAAGGTTGTTGATGCCCAATTGCGTACGTAAGGTCTAGTTTCTTCTTTTGTCGTTCCCGTGGTTCTTCTGGGATCATTTCTCGTCTCTTTCTCCCCCTCTCCTGTCAGGTTTTGGCTGCAACTCTGGCCCCAATGCAGCCGCTCAGGACAGCTTCGGGGCTCCTGCGGAAGGCTCCCGACTACCAGGGCGCGACATTAAGGTTGTTGATGTCCGATTGCGTACGTAAGACCCCCTTTTCTGTCTGTGTCTTCACGTGGTGTTTTTGGAACCATTTCTCGTCTCCTTCTCCCCCTCTCCTGTCAGGTTTTGGTTGGAACTCTGGCCCCGATGCAGCCGCTCAGGACAGCTTCGGGGCTCCTGCGGAAGGCTCCCGACTACCAGGGCACGAAACCCTCAAGGAGTCGACCAGAGAGTCGAATACAGTCAAGGCGCTGATATAAGGGCCACCTTGGTGCTCAGGGGGGCGATGGTTTTCGGGTCGTGCCTCAGATTCAGGTCGTGGAACCCCTTCGTGACCGAGGCTCGCCGCGGCCACCAAAGCTGGGGTCCCAAAGGTCTGCTGGGCCAGAGGCTCCTAAGAGATCCAGAGGCCTGCTGGGGTCCTAGGGGGACAGGTCTTCGGGCCATCAAAGGTTTCCCTCCCGAGGCCCAGAAAGAGTCGAAGTCAAAATGTTCGGGGATCGGGGATCGAGGACCGAACGAGGATGACGACGACGGCGGCGGCGGCGGCGGCCTTCCTTACTCCTCCCCCCCCCCTCGTGCCAGGGTGCTTGTCTCCGCGTCGCACGACGCCACGAGCCACGTGTGGGTCGAAAAGGACAAGCCTTCGAAGTAGTTCGACTCCTGATTTGCTCCCCTCGGCGAGGAGGCGGAAATCGAGGCTCCAGGCTCTTGCCCGTGCTTCTGATCATTTTCGGAGCTCCGTCTTGGGACCCTCTTGGACCTCTCGCGGGGTCTCCTTCGGCCGCCTCCGAAGGCGCCTGGGGCCCTGCGGAGACTTCTGGGCCTCCCGAGGTCCCCTGGCGACTTGTAGCATCTTGGGACATTGGACATCTATAGGTCTGAAGGGGCCGCCTCCCCCCCGCTCCCCTCGCGGGCCATCCGATGACAGGAGGACGGGGGGGACGGAAACGTGAAGCCAGGGGGGAAGTGACGAACAGCAGGTCGCGGAGGCGAATGAGCAGGAGGAGCAGCGGGACGTGTCTAATGAGTGAGAGCAAGAGTTAGAAGGGGAGTTGGAGCAGTAGCAGGAGCAGGGGTAACAGCAGAAGAAGAAATCACGCTTGGACTCCCTGGAACTCGGTGGAGGCGTGCTGAGAGCTTTCAAGGGCCTCCCCAAGGGAGCCAACGCCCAAATCCTTTTGATGCCTACGAAGTCACAATGATTTGGGTCTCTGCGGGCCTTCCTTGGGGTCCTCTCGGAGGCCTCCTGGGCCGTCTTGGGCGATCTTGAGGCCATCTTGAGCCATCTTGGGAGCGTTTCGGCCCATTTTGTAGTCATCGTGGGACCTTCTTCAGCTCTCTTGGGGCCATCGCAGCAGTCCTGACCACTGCTGAAAAATCACGGCTTGGGGTCATTATCATCGTTTGTTCAGATTGTTGGACGGGAAGATCGGGAGCCACCACGTGTTGCACGCCTATCCGAGCCGCTACCAGCCTGCCTGATGCCTAACCAGTTGCGCTGCCGCGCTGGTCCTCCACCGCGCTCGGAGTACCAGGGACCCTGAGGGGAAGGCAGGCGGGGCCACCTTCCAAGCAGTGAGCGCTCGGGGGGGACCTCGACACGCCTACGTTCATGATGTTCCAACCTACTGTAGCCTTGACCACCAGAAAATATTTAGAGCAAGTCCCGAAACTGGAGGGTTTTCGCGTGTAGGGCCTTGGGATGCGATACTCGTTCGACACTGTTTCGATGCTTTTCTGGGTGCTCGAAATTATTTCTGGGATGTGCTCCTTAAGTACGATGGGAGCAACATAAGCCTACGTCCGAACACGTGAACAAATCCTGGGGGCCCTCTTGGGGCCGCTTCGTAGCGTTCCCGGGGCTGTGTTGGGCTGTCTTGGCGGCTCGTGCCGCCATCTTGGCTGTCTGGTCTGCGGGACGTTTCGGCTGGTATCGTGGCCGTCGGGGGGTCTCGGGGCCGTCTTTGAGGTGAAGGATGAGGAGGATGAGGATGGGGATGAGGATGTGGATGAGGATGCGGATGAGGAGGAGGACGAGGATGATGCTGATGATGCTGCTGATGATGCTTATGCTGATGATATTGATGTTGTTGATGGCGATGTTGATGATGATGATGATGATGATGATGATGAGGATGATGATGATGATGATGATGATGGTGATGGTGATGATGATGATGTTGATGATGCTGACGCTGCTGACGATGGTGGTGGTGGTGATGATGACGACGATGAGTATGATAATGATGATTATGATGACGACGATGGTAATGATGCTGATGCGCATGCTGTTGATGGTGATGATGCTGCTGATGATGATGACGGTAAGGATGCTGCTGCTGTTGTTGATGATGGTGATGATGACGACGACGACGACGTCGACAACGCTGCTGATGATGACGACGATGGATGACGATACGGATGCTGCTTATGCTATTGAGGATCATGATGCGGATGAGGAGGAGGATGAGGAGGAGGATGAGGATGCGGATGATTGATCAGTGATGGTTGATGGTGGGCAGTTGAGGTTGATGGTGGTGGATGGTGGATGGTGGGTTGTTGTGGCTGCTGATGATGATGGTGGTGTTGATGGTGATGGTTGTGGTAATGGTGATTGTGATGTTGAGGCGGGTGATGATGATGATAATAATGATGATGATGATGATGATGATGATGATGATGGAGGTGGTGGGTGCTGGTGGTGCTGGTGGTGGTAATGATGGGGAAGGTGATGGTGATGATGATGATGATGATGATGGTGCTGATGATGATAATGGTGATGATGCTGATGATGATGATGATGATGGTGCTGATGATGTTGCTGGTGATGGTGATCATGATGATGATTGTGCTGGTGGTGGTGATGATGCTGCTGATGATGATGATGGTGAGGAGGAGGAGGAGGAGGAGGAGGAGGTAAAGGAGGAGGAGGAGAAGGAATATCAGCAGGATCAGCACAAAAGGGAGTAGAGAAGGAGCAATAGCAGCAGCATTCACCACATCAGGAGCAGACGGGGAATAATGAGGGCGATGGGTGTGACATGATGTGGGACAGGAGTTTGCAGCAGATGCGGGGCACGGAGGGACCAGATCCCGCTTGGCTTAGGGCTCAAGAGTCCTTGTTGCCCTATTGACTTCAGTGGATTTTCTGGAGCACCTCAGATCGTGTTCTCCACTTCCTTCCCCCAGTCTCCTTTCTCTACAAATTCCCCCTCCCACCCCGCCCCTTGCCTTCTCCTCCCTCCCCCCTCCTGCCCTTTCCGTGAATCGCTTTCCGGAGGGCCTCCCAGCCATGGCCACATTTTTGTCGACCCAGCGAAGCCCTGCGGCATCGAGGGGCGAAGAGGAGGGGGGAGGGGAGGAGGGGGGGGAGGGGGCGGGGGACACGCGGCGGCCCCCCGCGCCGCCACTCCCGGAGCGGCTCCGGGGGCACAACCACCGAATTCGCCTCACCAGCTCAGCACGAGGGCCCCGGCCAGGCCACGAGACGTGCCCGCGAGGCCGCGCCCCACTCGGCCTCGCCGCCCGCGCGAACCGCGGGCAGCCACAGCAGCATGCCTGCGCGCAGCGGCAGCGCAGGCGTCCAGCCCGTGCACGGCCGGCTCGCGAGCCGCTGCCACCGCGGGGCCCAACAGGCATGCGACCCACGCTGGGCCCTGGGATGCCGCATGCGGCAGCGATGCGCTACCCAGAAAGGCGCCCTGGCCGCGGCGGCGCCCCGTGCACGGGACGTCGCAGCCGGCGCGCGCATGGCTGCCATGCTGCCCTTGCCGCGCCCGAGCAGGCCGCGCTGCGGCGGCCGCCACGGCCGCTTGCGGCGATGCCTGGGCGCTTCCGCCGCGCCCGCCTGCGGCGATGCCTGGGCGCTGTCCAGCGTCGCCAGACCCTGGGCCCGCCCGGACCCGCGCTGCCGTGGTTCGAGTCGCGACCACACGGTTAGGAAAGCTTGTCGGCCGCAACGTTGGTGACGCAAGCCTTCGGAGACCTCCTGAAGCCCCAAGGGACCTCCAGAAACGGTTGCCGCGAGGGTTCCTTTTCCCTCTATCCCCGACGAGTCCCAGTGGGGACAGACATCAGATGATCTGGCCGATGTGTGCCGGGGGGGGGGGCCTGCCCTGACCAAATGGGCTCGCAGGGAGCCGAGCCGAGGTTTGCCCCCTGCGAGCCTCTCTCTCTGGTGCAGCCCCGTCAGCAAAAGACAGCGCTGCAAAATGAAGAACCAGTAGCAAGATTAGACAGTCGCGCTAAGACGAGAGGAAGAGAGCGAGAGAATGCACCTGCACGCTTCTGTCGCACGTCGTGGACCAAAATGTCGCACTGCTAAGGCAACAGTCGTATCCGCGAATGTCTGCGGTGCTCTGTGCCTGAGACACTGCGAAGAGTTAGTTGTTCGACCCCATAACGCCACGACTGACGGACGACGGACACAACCACACGAGTACGTACAATCTGCTCGCCAAGCGCATCGCCTTCGGCAGTCGCGTGAGTCCACCCGGCGGAGGCACGCGGGCGGAGGGACCTTCACTTGTGGGCACGCGGGCCGAGCGGGTTTCTTATGTGTGGTGCGCATCGGAAGCACTACAAACATTCAGGCACTCTCTGTGCGCTCATTCCCGTCTGGGTGGGCGGGTGTTGGCGGTCATGGAACTTGCGCGCGACGATCGGGAGGCGACGTCATGCAGAGAGGTGGAGAAGGTAGAGAGACGGAGACAGCGCAAAAAAGGAAGCAGATATAGCAAAGCGGGAGAGAAGAGCAACCACTATCAGTCACTTAATACACGCACCGATGCTTACCTCGCGTACAAGGCGCGTACACTGGGCACGCAGGGTGATCTAAGCCTCGGACTGCGTGAGCGACCAGTACAGGTGATCGTTTTCTTATTCGTTGTTTATCGGATCGGCGCGGGCACTCGCACCCCCCCTCCCCACCCCCCTTGGAGTAGATCTTGGCTGCTTTTGACGCCTGCTTCGAGCAGGTGGAGTCTTCCCCCACAACGGACGCACTGTTAGAAGCAATCGCACTAAGCAGAGGTTCAGAGCCAGACCCTCCCCCTCCCCCCCCCTTCCGCCCAATTTCGAAACGCCGAAACGCCGAAAACGAAAACGTTCACCAGACAAAGCCCAACCTCCCACGGCGATGAACCAGGACAGCAGAACCCAACACTGGTGCTTGGTCCCACTGGGTTCCGTTGAATAGCCCCTGACCAACAGTAGGGTCAGCAGCCCATCGCGCCACTATCAAGGATGCACGCTCAGCCTCTGCAGCCAATCGGGCCGCACGCCTCCCACGAGCCTCCTCTTCGGCCTCGTGCAGCGCGCGCTCGATCTCGTCTGACAGTCGAGCGGGCTCGCGGTGGCGGAGGGCACGAGCCAGGGGTGGCTGGCAGGGACTCGCCTTATGATGTTCCAGCCTACAGCCTACTTTAGCCTTGATCGCCAGAAAGAATTTCGAGCGCCAGGGAAGTACCGAAATTGGAAGGTTTTCACGAGTCGGGCCCTGGGAGACACTCGCTCGACACTGTTTCGACACTGTTTCGGCATTTCTCCGGGTGCTCCGAAATTATTTGCGGGATGCGGTCCTTAAGTACGATGGGAACGACGCAGGACTCGCCGAGATCCTGTATTCTCTGTGAACGTAGGACTCGCCAAGAACAACGTTGGGCCGTTCTCTGTATTGCTGCTCCCGGTCTGCCTCAGAGGTGTCCAGGCTGGCC